TGTTCAAGATTGTTGCGTCTCCAAGTGATAACCTCCAGGTCTCACGTCAGAGAGGAAGTCGCTGCTAGTCTTCTTTTTCCCAGCTCACCGGCAGAGATCGATTTGTCGCTCTGAATTCCTGCATTGCTAGTGCTGTTATCAGCAAAGCTGTGGATTGGATTGGCCATACAGGAAAGAAGTTCATTGATATGTAAGAGGAACAGTGTCTGAGCCAAGACCGATCTCTGAAATGGGGCAACTAAAGAATGAAATGGCATGCTGACAGTCCAAGTGTCTACAGAAAGATCAAAATTTTTTAGGCTGTTGATTTGCTTATGGACCAAGACAACACGATCGTATATCACCAAAGTTGAAAGAAATTGGTGGAAAAAAACTGTACAGTTAACCTACCTCACTTTTGTACATAAATTAATAGTGAGTTCCACACCACCTTATTTATTTAAAAAACTTATTCGTAGAAGACAGAGGAGTTTAAAAAAGTCCATTAGAGTCCGCTCTGTCTCAAATTGTGGCATGTTTATCAGACACCCAGATAAGAAACATGTCAATTTTGGTTGCAGCTGACTGCATGTTTCGCAATTATGCGACATTATACTAATAATACATAAATTTTACCTTGAAAACAAAAATCTGCAATTTGAGAACAATCGATAAACTATTCTGTAAATATTTTAAGAATCGATATTTATTTCGTTATTAGCGATCTTAAAAATACTTTTTTCCAAACATAGGCGTCATATTAGAACCGCTTTTTCGATTTTTGGACAACGATATTTTAGTTATTAGCGACCCTGAAACTCAAATGTGACCTAAATCAAAACATTTTTTCGCATAGATGTACGCCATATTAAATCCATCACTTTGATGTTTGACAAATGGATATCTTATTCGTTATCTGCGACCTAAAGATGTAGATTTTTTTTTTGTAAATTTTGATGAGTCTTTCTAATTTTGGTCATGTTTAGAACTTTGCACCACTGTGATAACGATCGCGTGTTAGCTTAAATATAAATGTCAATGCGTGCTAAAGCATAAATGTTTCGATTAGTATATTAATTTAAACATTGACGATTATTATTCGAATATTAATGGAGTCGTATGCAACAAACCTTCGATTTTATTTATCACTAGCTGCCCCGACCGATGTTGTCTTAGCTATGAACTGGGATGAATAGTGAATAATGAAAGAGTAAATATATGGAATATAGGTAATTGCTTAATGAAGTGTTTGTACCGCCATGTGGCTAGCAAAATACGTTGGTAACACTACCATTCCCCTATTAACTTACCTTGAAAGTAGACATATACTTATATCGAATGAGTTTTGCTGCGCCAAATGACGTCATTTGAAAGCTGGATATGAGTTAAAAAATATATAGAATTTGTCCCATTTCTGGAAACCGGAAATACTTCTCAAAAAAACTGGACAAAAGCTCTTATCGAATGGACTCTGCACTACTAATTAAATAAAAAAATATTTTTTCACCGACAAATAGGTACTGTTAAAAGATAATTAGCATTTTTCGCGAGTCCACGGTGTAGCACAGTGCACTACTGGGAACCGATACTCAAATTTTCGCGAAGAGCGGGAACAGGGAAAGACGGATGTGACGTCATCCAAATGTCGAAAAATAACATGGTACAGGTAAATGAATGTATGTAGGTACATAAGAATACTTACAAGAACGTTAGATTAGTGCACGTTTCTGTAAATTTCTTTTTATAATAATCTATTACAGGGTGGCCAAGATAAGGATCAGACTAGGTTAAACTCAGTAATCACACAATCTTACATCAATCATTTGTTTGCAACGCCTACTTAAATATAATGAAGAATTAAAAAAAATACGTTTGTTTATAATGTGTGTAACGTGATACATCGTTAAAGTCGTAGAAAAAGTTGCCTAAAAAGTGCCATTAGCTTTTTGACATTTCTTAAAATAAAGCCAGACAAAAATAAAAACGATTTGGGCAAATTTTAGTTTTTCCCAAATACCTCAGTATATGACTAATTTTTCAGTGCATGCAATGTGCGCAATTTATAAAAAACATGGGATGTCAACCCTTACACACAAGTCGATGAGTATGCAAGGCTCACCTAGTTTCTTGCACAGATATCCTGTTTCCCTCAGAAGAGTTGTAAGTAGACCTAATTTCCATTTTCAAGACACTTGACACCCACGTCACAACACCAATTCACCACTGAGAGACAATCGAGAACCCTACAGGGAACACCACTACTGAAAAAAAGTAGCTAAACCATATAGAGCTCTGTACGGAGCTGTGAACGCGTAGGCATTCCGCTGCGCCGACAGTTGCCGAGAGACTGAAGCGTGCGAGTGCTGTGCCTCGCTGCGGCGATACGGTACGGCCACGCCCCTTTCCAGGTCCCACTCCGCGCGTCTGCTCCCGAAGCGACTCGATGTTTACGTTGACCGGTAGCACTCACACGCTTCAGTCTCTCGGCAACCGTCTTCGCAGCGGAATGTCTAGGCGTCCACAGCTCCGTGCAGAGCTCTATTCGGTTTAGCTACTTTTTTTCAGTAGTGGTGTTCACCATAGGGTTCTCTCAGTATTGCTTTGGTGTTTTAGTGTTGTGACGAGGGTTTTAAGTTTCTCCAAAGTGAAAATTAGGTCTAGCTCCAATTCTTCTGAGGGAAACAGGATATCTGCGCAGCAAACTGGCTGAGCCTTGCATACTCATCCTGTTTTTTTTTTAAATAAATTGCGCACATTGTATACATTGAGAGATTAGTCATATACTGAGGTATATCTCAATCGCCAGATGAATATTAGTCAAAGAATCACTTCCAAGGCGACTCATTTTCACTACATAAGCTGACTAGCACTGTTTAAAAACAATATTACAAAATTTGGCTTAGCAGCGTTTTCTGCTGTCCTAAGAGGCCATAATTACCTGTTATCAAAGATATCGTAATTTTTAGTGTCAAGAGCTGTCAAATTTTGCCTCAGGTAAACTGGAAAAATGCTGACAGGTACTGTCATACAATTCTTCCATCTAGAAACCATTTGTAATTCAAAATTCCGCGTTTGTGATTGGTAGAAATTAAGACGAGGGAAATAGTCCTCATGAAAACCGCAGGATAAGTTTCAGATGCTACATTAACACAAAAACTGGTGCCACGGCTCGACTTGTGTTTGAATGTTTATAGTGGCTATGTTGAAAAATGAAAAAAAGTTCATAATTTAGTTTGTGGTACAATTTACATTCATAAATAAAATTTTGGTTTACAAAACGGTTCCTACTTAAAAAATGACCCTCGTATAAACCGTTACTTCAATGCTTGTTTTTTAGGTTAATAACTGTGGCATGCTGGCGATTTTCGATTGTACAAATGAAGCCAGAATTGTGGAACGACTTGATTTTTCATCAGATGATACAATTAATCTTAGCAGTGACGGTGCAGGTTTTCTAGGGTTTTCCTCGGCCAAGTGCGAATGCAGTCACTAAAAACCATATCCCCCTACTAAATAGTAGAGAAACTGAAAATCGTACTTCTCCTATTAATGATCATGTAATTTTAGATCAAATACATTTTCGTCGATTCGAGCAGTTGATGAACGTCCAGAGCGACGTTTGTTATCAATCGACATGTCGCCATTTTTAAATCGAGCAAATCACTCGTACACCTGAGTTTTTTCAATAGCATTATCTTTGTAAGCTATTTTCAACATTAAAATAGTTTCATCAGCATGTTTACCAATTAGAAAGCAAAAATTCACAGCTGCACGTTGCTCACTGAAGCTTGCCATCGTAAAAAATGAAACAAGCACGAAACCGCTCTAGCAAAAACAATGACTACAGAGGAACGAAACAAACCACATCGACAACTCAGGTGGCACTGAACTGGTAATGAGTTGCGCTGTACGCCTCTAGGGGCAGAAATGTGTACTACATAAGCTGCGCCCACTGCAATGCTATACCTGTTATTTTTGGGTAGCTCCTCGTATGTTTTGGGATGAAGAAGGCTTGGACCACATTCTATTCAGCGACGAGGCTCACTTCCACCTGGAGGGCTACGTAAATAAACAGAACTGTCGGTACTGATGTAACAACCCAAAAGAAAAGCATCCAAAAAAACTGCATTCCAAGGTTACAGTTTGGAGAGCCTTGTCGGCTACTGGAATAATTGGGCCCTACTTTTTTTAAGATGCTCGGGGCCGTTCTCTATAACTGTGACAAGCCAATGGTACACTGCAATCAATGCTTCAGCAAACGGGACCTGGTTTCAACAGGACGGGGCGGCAGCACACACAGCAGCAACATTTATGAACGTTTTACGTGAATTATTTTCAGGAAGTGTTATTTCGAAATTTAGGGACATCAAGATCGCCAGATTTTTTTTGTGGGGATACTTAAAGAGTTTCGTCTTCACCGATCCTCCAGCCACTACGGAACAGTTAAAAGGCAACATTCGACAGGCAAATAACACCATTGCTATTGAAATGTATCAGCCGACATTCCAACATTTAAGAGCATCGTTGGAGGAGTGCTATTTTTTATACTCCAACTACCACGAAGGCCTAAGGCCTAAACATCCATTGGGTACCGTCTGGCTATAGGGGGATACAGGGGAAAGGGGGAACGCCACACGAACTCTGGCGAGGGAAAACGTGTGCATGCAACATGCACACATTCTGGCTCCATCTACGACATCCGCCGGGTGGTCCCTCCGCGACATTTGCACAACATGTGTTTAAGAATCCCTGTACATTCAAAATTGATGATTAAAATCATCGCAACACTTCTGTTTTTATACCATGTTAAAAGGGGAAAATTTACTCCGAGTATTGTATGTAAGTGAAACTAGCAGATTTTTTTTGGACTATATGAATCTTCCTAATTCTGGTCAACTCCGTCTCCGACCATGTGACATACGCAGAATTTTTTGTACATTGCGTTAAGGTAGAGTAGAAGGGAAAGGAAACATGTTCAAGTTTCTTTTACTTTATTTTCAGTTAACGTTTCTTTTTCAACTGGTTAATGAAAAATTCAAATAAAAACTTGGAATACCGCTGGAAATGATATTTAACAACTCTCACAAATAAAAAGTATTTATAAAACACGTCTATATTTGTTGCTATTCGAAATAACGTAAAATGCATTCTTCTAGCCTTAGAGATACTATGCTTAAATTTTTTGAAAAACATGTATTACACCCCTTGCATTACTTCATTTAATCAAAAAATATGTATTTTGACCTGTTAACAGAAAATTTGACTGGGATTTTTAAATAAATACACGGCGCATATAAATTTCAAGACTAACCGTTCTCAAAATCAATAGGCACGATGTATACTCGTAGATGAACATCTTTCAAGGAACCCATTTTTTATGCTATTAAGAAAGTGTTCTTAAATAAAAATGGAATTTTCCGCACATATCTATTTAAAATGACAGTGGCAGGAATTCAAAGCACATTATTGTTTTTACATGAGTCTAGTTACAGTTTAAATAATTGTACATAAATACTAGCAGTATAATTAAAAAAATAACAGTAATACAAAATTGACGAGTGGTTCACAAGCTGTGAAATATATTAAATTTCAAACCATAAAAACAATATGTGACACTCTTGAGCTGTCATGGACCTACATATGCCTTTTGCAGACAAAGTATAAATGCTGCTGACATTCTAACAGCACAATGCCAATCAAAATTACACAACACAGCCAATAAGTACTCAAACAATACCTTGACCCTCCAATCAATTCAGGAAGCACAGAAAAACGATCAGTTACATGAATTATTATGAAAAAACTATCAGTTATATGAAGTATTATGAAAGGTACAATGCCTGCAATTCCTATATAGCAGACAAATCCCTGAATTATTCTAGGGACATGTCGCTGATGACTTCTAATTTGACCCGACAGTTCATCGAAAAAGCAAAATTGGAAACTAGTAAAAACAGCTACGTGAAGTAAGTGGAAGGCAAAACAGTACATACGATTATTATAAAAAACATCGTGGTCTTTCTATTGGTATGGTTGTCAATATAGGAAATAAACACCTCAAATTTGGATGCTATTAGAAGCGAATGATGGAAATTTACTAATTATCAAAATTTTATTAAAGCACAGGTTGTCGGAAGAAAACGTCTCCTCTCTCCTTAATCTGTATATTGCACATAGCTAATTTTTATCTGCTGCCATAGCATTTTGTCAAAAATTCAATTTTATCGCATTTTCATTCATCAGTTTTATGGAATTTGAATTGTTCAACAAAATATCACAAAATTACTATTCTGTAAGATCAATCCCCAAGCTTCTTTTCCTATTCATAAGCATACTAACACCATATTCCATTTCAAATACCACAACTGAAAAAAATTACTTGTATTCCAAATCTCAAATTAACTTTGAAATAAACTGTATTGAACCTTGGTAAAACAATCTGTACTTCATGAGAAGCACAAAGGACAGTAGGAAATCAGTGGAATTGAAATTTTCACAACATTTTGAGTTGTAAACTAAGCTGAAAAATGAAGGATTTTTATATACAATTACTATAAGACTATCACAAAATTCTGTCTTTTTAGAGCATCGTAACAAAGAATTGGTTCGGAACCCAATTTATAGAATTTAATATTACTCAATTCAGAATCATTTCATAACTAATTTAAAAAATGGTGTTTAATTCTCATTTATACTATGTGAGAAGCTTTGTTATGCCGTGTTAAATAGCATCTTAATGGTATCTCAGATTTGTAGTAGAGATTTTACAGAAAAATTGGAAGTGGCGTGATTCTGAAGAAAGTGACATAAAGTGTTTTCCCCCGCTCGCCTCCGGTAGTTTTTTATGGTTATCACAAGTACTAAATTAATAAATGGCCCAAGGTTTCTTAAAAATGTTCCCAAGAGAGCATCAACGAAGACATGATTACTAATTTCTTTCATCAATAAAAAGAGATAAACAAAAAAAAAACAATTTGCCTTGATTTTACCAATTTTTTTTTTTAAATAAATTTAAAATATTAAAATAAGTATGTAATTGTTAATTCTAACTTTCACTTGATTTGTTCATTTCTTTTTTTTTCATTGTAATTATTTACTTTATTCCAAAACATTTTTCATTTCAAAGATTGTATTGTAAGAAGTATGTAACCTAAACATTCTAGGCTGACTAAATACCTTTTTGATGAAGTATACGGAAATATAGGTCAAAAAATGATTATCCCTCGCATTGGCGGACTCACCTCTTTTTTACACAGCTTTCTTTTTCAGTATTGTCAAGGAGCATCCTCGTCTGTGACAAATTGGTGTTTTGGTCCCCAGTTAGTACGACCTTAGGCTTGTTCTCATATTTATCGCCACCGGGGTTAGTAATAGACCAATGGGTCGCACTGCTTGCAGCTACAGTTTGGTTTGATTTTCAAATTACTCATACATCTAGAAGACGCAGACGTGCCATTGCTTTCCAGAGATGATTCACCTCTTTGATCCTCGTATCCTTCATTCTCAATGTTTCTCTTGCATTCCAAAGAAGTCTATGCTGCTGTCGCGATTTTCTTATCAGGTCTTAGTTTTAGATTGTTGAATGGTTGCGGTTTGGTTGATTTGCTGTTCAACCCCTTGGGGGCTATTGAATGTTTGCTGGGCAAGTCAAATTCTCTTCCTCTTGACAATCAATCTTACTTTTTTTGTGTAACATACGAACTGGATTGTGTTGTGTTTTCCTTCTGACTAGGTTTGTCTTCTTCAATCTTTCGCCTGAGTATTATCATTTTGCTCGAATTGGGTATTGGTGCTTGTGATGGCGATTTAGGTTCAGCGGAAACTTCTTTCTGATTTGGTGATGCGTTGAAACAATCCAGTTCTTCAAGCTCTTTGATTCCAAAGAGTCAGTTTCATAAGCATCCCTTCCTTCATTTCTCTTAAGACGACGCATATCTTCCTGCATCTCTACTTCAATAGACTCTTCAATAAACTTCTTTTTCGTGTCATGGCAAGCTTTTCTGCTACTGTAGTGTTTGATGAAACTTTGTATTCATTTATGAAAATCTTAGTATCTGGAAACAATTCTGCACTAATTTGTTTTTCTTTAGATGATGATGAAAATGATCAATGATTACTTCTTACCATTTTTATCTTTATTATGTATGACTTCGCCAAAAATTATTCCTCATGTTGTTGAAAGAATGTCTAATTAAATTGTATTCGTAAGTATATCAATAAATCAAAAGCATCGAACCAAAGCTAAATTCAAGGTTTTATTAATAAACTCCACAGCCTTCATACAAAATTTCCCAAAGTGCGTAGTGACAATGTGAAGAAAATTGGTTCAATTTTCGCTGATGTGTCAGAGAACCATTAGAAAGACCACCTAAACTGATTGGCATTCGCGCTTATAAACGGCCAGCAACCGGTTGACCAGATAAATAAAACAGGTTTGAATTAAAATACACTGCAGCTAAACAGTTCCACTATTGGCACTAAGTGGAAATCAGCTCCGATATCGACGACGAAAAACGCTGCGCACACGCCCTTGCACGTTCCTTGCACACAAAACTCACGTCGAAAGTCCTTCACTCGTCGAATTCTAAGGGGAAATGGGTGCGAAAAACTGCGCCCGATTCGGGTTGAAGGAATACACGATGGCTACGAATAGCGTTACTAGCGTACGTGACAACTGCACCTACTTATGGCAATAATTTATTACCCGAACTTAAGCTCGCCACATCTAATTCAAGCCGAGCCGCTGCTATAACATGGCGTTTTTAACTCAATCTATCAAAATGTCGAATAATAGCTATACAACACATATCGCAGCGCCTGCATACTCCACAACAGCAACGCTAAACGCACCCAAAGCTCACCGCTCAACACCAATCAAACGCAGTTTTACGAGGAAGAGGAAAGGTGGGACAGGTAGTGTCGGGTTAGCGACGGTACGAATTAGGCCCGCCCCTTTGTGCCGGAGGTCCGCCGCTGGCGTTTCTGTTCTGGTAGCTGTTGCTTCTGTTCGGGGGCGGTCCGCCGGCGTTTCTGTTCGGTCCGCCGGGGGCGCCGCCTCCCATACGTCTGTCGTCCCTAGGGGGCATGCCGCTGCGGTCCCCTCTGCCGCCCCTAGGGCCGCCGTCCATGCTCTGGCGACTGCCGCCCCCGCTCGCGCCGCCGCTGTACGGCGGCCTGTCTTTGGGTTTCTTCTCTTCGACGTTCAGTTGTGTGCCGTTTTTGTCGCCGCGCGGGTAGAAGATCGGCTGCAAGAGAGACGTTAATGAATGAAAAATTTGGTGAAAATACAGGGTGGCCGATATGTAACTGACTGGTATGCATCTTAAATTTTTGTAAAATGAAATAAAATATGTCCATTTTTTTTTCATTTTCATTGTATGAAAAATAATATCAGACAAATGTCCGCCTCCAGAAGCCGCGCAAACCTGAGCCCTCTTAATTACATTTTCCATCACTTTTTGGTAGGTTTCGGTAGGAATATTTTCAATCGCTTCCGTAATATTGTTCTTCAACTGCACAATATTTGGTTTGTTGGCATGTCCTATTTTTCAAAAATCCCGATAAAAAAAGCAGGAGGCGTTAAATCCAGTGATCTTGTTGGCCAGTTGACATCACCAAATCGAGAAATTAAACGTCCCAGAAATATTGGTCGGAAAAGATTCATTGTTTCCCTAGTGTGACAAGTTGCTCCGTCCTGCTGGAACCACATGTTTTGCAGGTTTAATTATTGGATTTGAGGAGCCAGAATGTTTTCCACCAGATCACGGTAGCGCTCGCCAGTGACAGTAAGGGTACTCTCATGCCCAGATACGACAATTCTGCTCATTAACAAATCCATTCATATCGAAGTGGGCTTCATCGCATATTATCAGCTGACGGTAAAAATCGTTATTTTGGGTATTAAGCTGCAATACTGCATGACTGTATTGTCGGCAACTCTCATGGTCACTAGGCTGTAGTTCTTGGGTTAACTGAACTTTGTATGGCCGCAAATGCAAGTCTCTTTTTAAAATAGTGCAGAATGACGTGCGACGAATACCCAGTTCTTGAGAACGATGTCTGGAAGACATTTCAGGGCGCCCCACTACATTTTCACGAACTCTCTCGACATTTTCCGGAGTACGACCAGTTCGAACCTCGGCCCGACCTTGGCAAGTCTTGGACTTCACCTGTTTGTTCAAATTTCCGCTCCGACTGATGAATGGTGTTGACACTCGGCACATTATGTCAACCGAAATCTTGTCGTAGCTTCCGAATCGTTACAAAATCGACTCATTATTTAGGTAAATCGTTTTAACAATACGGACGCGTTCTGGGATCGTGTAGCGCACCATGATGAATGCTTTAAACAACTAATACGGCGCCACCTACTGAAATGCGTGTATAAAAAATGGCGCGCAATTTAAATCAGTCAGTTACATATTGGCCACCCTGTACAATCACGAATTAATGTGAAATTTAAAATACATAAACTATACTAAGCCCAGCCCAGACGAAATACAGCAAAAAAAATATTGCAAGTTTGCAAAAATTCCCACAAAGCTGAAAATTGGTACACACCTTAAATACACCTTATGAAAAATACACTACACAAAAAAATTAAGGGAGCAAGGAAACAAATCCAAATTTTTCGATGAAAATGGTCGCATCTAGACTTGGCATTTTACAGCTTTGAGATTCTAGTTTTCGGGTTTTTTAGCCGAAAAAATTTAGGAGCAACATTTTTCATGGAATTCAAACAGCGCAAGAAAATCTTTTTGCAAATTGTTTGCCTTCTTTTTAGACCACGGGCTTGGAAATTTTTGTATCAGACCATCATATAAATCGGATAGCCCATTAATTTAGCCTGAATATCCTGTTTTTAAAATCTCGATACAGTCATTTGATGCAGAGATATCCGACTTTGATTGAAAAAGAATCTTTTTGTCATCAACCACTGATATCTCTGTAACCAGTGATCGCACAGATAATGTAAAGGTATTTCCAAAACCTGGAATACTCCTCCTGTAAGATTTCATTGCAAAAAGAGCATTAGTAATTCTCTAAAAATGCATCCATGGGGTTCAGAGGTCGCGAAACATTGTATGAGAGAAGGTATATCTGTAATATGTTTACCTTAGATATAAGGCAGGCCTGTACGTGTTGTTGCAGTTTGTAAGTGATGAAACCATAGTTGGGAGGCGCTCGTCCTCCGGGTTGTCCGCCGATTTTGCTTAGTGGTTTGCTGTGTATTCTGAGATCCATAATTTCACCAAATTCACTGAATATCTCCCTGAGTTCATCTTCTGTCGCTGTGTGCGGAAGGTTGCCCAAGAACAGCTGGTTTACGTCGTTGAAGCCACCCTGAGATCGTCGCCTGTCATCTGCAAAGCAAACAATAATAGATAAAAATAAAGGATCATGAGGAGAAAGGTATACGAGCCCCTTCCCACTTCAGTTGGCCCACTTCAAGATTTGTACCAAAATATGCCTTTATAAACTAAACATTAGGAAACCATTTACTTCTAAAACAATTTATTTTCTTAAAAACATTTTAGATACACTCTAGTCGTAAAAAATACATATTTGAAATCACTTAGACCTAAAACTAATAGAACAAATAAACAATGTGCGAATAAATGCGCGAAGTTAACAAAGCAACAATTGAAAGATTACCATTGGGTTACCACCTTTATTTTTTATTACGGAAGAAATTCTTTGGGGCATAGTGTTAACCAAGTTTTGGAAAAAATTCGGTGTAAAACAATCCCATATTTCTTAAAGCTTTTGTCTCAGTTCGGTGATTGTACGAGCAGGATGTTGTCGTAAAACCTTTTTCATCTCGTGCCACAAAGTTTCAAAAGGTGACAGATCTGGACTGCTAGAAACCCATTTCAAAAGTGGTACATTATTTTCTTCAATCCATTTTATAGCCTTTTTTGAGGTATGGCACGCTGCACCATCTTGCTGAAACACAAAATCTTGGCCGGATGTCAAACATTCTTCCATCACTGGTAAAAGCGAGTCTTCTAAAATTGCCAAATATTTGTTCGTATCCACATTTCCATCAATAAAATGAAGTTTTCGTACTCCTTTTGATGACATACTGCCCCAGACCATAATGACTACTGGAAATTAAACTTTTCTCTTCAGACAGTGAACATGGAATGATTCATTTTTTTGTGAATAACTCTACTGCGACTGTCACCAACACAAACTTCGAATCGGGCCTCATCACTCCATTGTATTGCACACCATTGTTGAGGTGTCCATTGTCTATGTTCTTTAGCCCATCTAAGCCGATTTTTCTTTTGAAGTGGAGTTAATAGTGGCTTTTCTTTGGCCTATAAACAAGTTGTGCAACTTTAGGGTTTTTACTGCACTTTTTTATAAGAAAACTTACCTTACAAATGCTAAATCCCAGTTTGTGGGCCTCTCTATGAGTTGTGGACCTCGAAATTCTCCTTCCAACAGCGTCACTCCACAGAGCACTTAATTGTAGATAATTGGCACGCCTGTTTTTCACGATTATTCTTCTTGATGCTCTTCGGTCGGCATTTGTGATATTACTTTTTTCCACATATCGTGGCTTAATATTAACTGAACCAGTTACGTTATATCTTCTAACAATATTTCTCACACTGTACCGCGATAAGTGTAACAAAGTTGCAATTTCTGAGTTTGATTTCCCAGAATTAAAAAATTTAATTATCAGTAACCGAATTTTCTCACTAATAACCTTTCCTCTACCCATTTTGAAAACCTTAACTACCCAAAACTATTTTTACACGTATTTTGACAGCTGTGATTAATAAAAACAATTGTCATGGCTTTTATTCCTCACAGCCACCTATGCGTTATACTTATTTTGCATTGAAATGAAAATAGGTTGATATGCTGTAATTCCAACATGTGTTATTTTTATGCTGCAAATTTGATTAGGGAGTGATAAAGTTGGTGTTTTCGACTATATATTATCAAAATATTCATTGTTAATATTTTAAACCTATAACACCCTGCTACATTTTTATTATTTGTGTTTGATGAGAAAAAAAACTAAGATTTCAATAGTTGGGCCAACTGAAGTGGGAAGGGGCTCGTATATAGTCTTATACTAGAGATATTGGAGAGGTCAATAAAAGATACCAACGAAATCAAACAGATGTCATGCAACAAATGTTCGTTGGTTTGTTAAGCAAAGGATTTTAGATAAATTTAATGTTATTTTATTTATCTCGCATCCTGCATTTTATTTGTTTGTTGAAGGTTTATTCAGTATTAATGCTGAAATTTCAATTCATACTACAACTATAGTTTATTTTCTGAATGTTCAGTCTCAAAACGACAAAAGTACTAATAATCAAGAGCTTCGATTTTTTGTATTTTGTATTTGACAATAACTCTAAACGTAGTTCCAATTTTTTTCAAATTTCGAGTTTAATTTTTTTTTAAAGTTTTCCAATTCTTACAATTATTTTCCAAATTTTCAAATCCAATTTTTTTCAAATTTTGAAATTCAAACGGCAGAACTACTTGTAGTCAAGACAATTGATTTTCGGTATATTTTATATTTGAAAATAAATCTAAATTTCGAAAATTTCTAAAATTTATCCAAACTTCCAATTCTCCAAATTATTTTACAAACTTCAGAATTTTCCAATTACTTTTCAAATTTTCAAAACTATTTTTTTTCAAATTTCAAAATTCAATTTTTTTAAAAATTTTCAGATTCGATTTTTTTTCCAAGATTATTGTATTGTTCATCGGCCCTTGACCCCTGTGCGAATATTCAAGTTAATCAGACTGCTAAGAATTAGTGAAAATTAGATTGAAAGATTCTGTTACATATGTTACATCCATACACGCACATCCAGGTCAAGCTAAAAAAAGCATGTTAAAAAACTTACGTTTAGCTGTTGCAAGATTGTTTATATCCTTAAAAAATCAACTCTTTTGATAATACTTGTAAAAACACTAACCTGCGACGGTTAACTCACACAGAATTATTTAAAATGCACAACTGTGGTGCGTTAGTTGCTTGGAAAAAGTGGATCAATTTTGAGAATAAGGGGACCTTTCAGAAACGGAAATATAGGGTGATTCAAATTGGATGTCCACATTAAAAGTAATTAAAAAAAGGAAGAAATTGAAAATTATAAAAAAAGTATGTATTTGTCCTTTCAGGGCAGTTCATTACAATTATGCATGAAAGATGATATCAAGTAAATGACGTAAACCGTTACGAGAAATTTTCGACTACTCCGTGGCACAAATCAGGTCCTATGTTGGTAATTCCGCGACTGAACTCCTTTTACAGCTCCGCAATTGTGTTCGGGTTATTCTTGTAGACTTTGCTCTTGAAATACCCCCAAAGAAAATAATCTAAGAGAGTTAAATCACAGTTACGTGAAATAACACGACCTGGAAACTTGCCGCCCAGTAATTGTATCGTTTCCCCTGATGTGTGACCTAGGCTGCAACTCCTATGTTATTTGGATTCTGCATGGGTGTAATTTCAAATATTTTGTTAAAATCCGGTGTGTAGTGGAATAAGTAAGGTTCAGTTGCTGCGATCGATGACGAATCGAGGTTCTTGGATTTTCGGCCACACTTTCGGCAACAATAGCAATATTGTGTTCCGATCGACCTAGAGGTTTTGGTGTTAACGACGAATCCAGTTTGCTCGAATTTTTGCACCAAATTTCAAACTGTCCTCTCACAACGCCGATTTTGTGCGCCAAAAAATTAATGTAAAGCACGAAATGTATGCTTCCTTGATGGGCCGTTTTCATTATAGGCTTGGTTAATTTTAACACGTTGTTTGTTCGTATATTGCTTCACGACTGTTTTGTTTATATTTTGACGTTGGAAATGGCACGTTGTCGTTGACAAATTCAGTGGCGTTTCAAAAAAAAATGTATTTGTAATGTTTAAACTCAATTTGAATCACCCATTATAATCTCAATATGACTAACTACAGATGGATATCACACCATTTTTTGTATAAATTATGTTTTTTCTATTTTTTATAAATACATAAAATATATGATCAAAGTAATTGTACTAAAGAACCGTTGCGGCTAAACTTTTACGATAAAAAAGATTTTTTTTATTTTTTTCATGTTTTTCAAGTTTTTCAATTCTTCAACTTTTCAACTTCCGAATTTTCCAATCATTGTCCAAATTCTGAAATTCAAACGACTACTTGTAATCAAAAGCTTTTTGGTATATTTTATATTTGATGATAAATCTGAATTTACTTCCAATTTTTTCATATTTCCAAATTTTCAAAAATTCTTAAAATTATTTTCTAAACGTCCAAATTTTCCAATTACTTTCCACACTTCCGAATTTTCCAATTACTTTCCATACTTCCGAATTTTCCAATTACTTTCCAAATTTTCAAATCCATTTTTTTCAAATTTCAAACTTGATTGAAAAATTCTGTTAAATACATGCATACACGCATACATACATCCAGGTCAAGCTAATAAAAGCGTGTTAAAAAACATACGTCAAGCTGTTGCAAGATTGTTTATATAGTTAAAAAATCAACACTTTTGATAATACTGTAAATACACAACTGTGGTGCGTTAGTTTCTTGGAAAACTGGATCAATTCTGGGAATAAGGGGACCTTTCAGAAACGCAAATATAATCTCAATATCACTAACTATAGATGATATAACCCACAGCAAATTACTACACCGAATACCCGGTACTCGGTCTTTTGAAAAAAATCTGTCCCTAATCTCGACTAACTCGCACCACATGCTGTTCCTTTTTTCCATAAAAATCGGGAAATTCACACAGCTCCTAGGAACGGAGGTAAAACGCTTGTTTTCCTTATGAAAACTGAAACAAAACGTTTTTTTTTTCTTTTGAAAACTGAAGCAAAACGATCATTTCCGCACTCACCGAATCCATCATCATTGCCAACAGACCCCCTCATACCGCCCTGCGATCCCCTGATCGAATCCTGCCTGGGCGGCCTCTGCTGCCCGCCAGTCTGTCCCGGTGGCCCGTCCGCCCTCGGACCGCCCATCGGTCTGCCCGCACCGCCCATCGCAATGGGCGAAGCGGCGCGGGCGTTGCCGTACGGCTGGGGTTGAGCGGCCGCGACGCTGTTCTGGGCGGCGTTGTTGAAATTCATCGTGCTGCCGGTGTTGCCGGATTTCAGGAGGTTCGCGTATGTTTTAGGCTCGTTCGGTGCTGAAACAAACAAAAAAAAAATAATATATTATTATGATGCCCAGATGAAATGAATTCATATTTAGTAAAACACATCTTGAGGCCAATTGCAGTGATGGATTTAGTAGTAGTAAGTCATGTACTCCATAATACAACAATAATAATAATACAGAATGGGTTTGTTTGATTGTTGAAGATTTATTTAGCATTAATGCTACAATATATAAATTTTGTATAATATTCTTTTACACATTTGTTTGTATCAGTTTTTTTTATTTGGAATACAGATTTGCGAAATATGCTACTATTAAAATTTTGAAGATGAAATGACCCTGCATTTTGTGTGTTGAAGATATATTTAGCATTAATGCTACAATGTCAGTTTTGCATAATTAACTTTTACACACTTTTTGAATCAATGTTCTGTAATTTTACATTATTGTCTATTAAAATTACATCACTATGCATTATGGGTATTCTACCTGTTTAATTTTGTGAAGTTTTGTATATGTGGTGGTGTTAAATTATTTTTTAATTTCAAATATAGATTTCCATTTACAAAACTGCAATAGTAATAAAGGGTGTCTCAACAAGAGCACCGGATTTAAATTTGTCGTCATTTTTTTGTACAAGTGGTATGTGTTTACTTGATGACAGCCGTCATGTCCAGACCACGCGATTAGACGTCATGGAGCAGTATTCAAACGAACGTTTAATTAATAACTAATGGAGAAAATTACGCGGAAACAGTTTACAAATTACGTACAATTTTCGGTCGCAACAATGCGACAAATGAGTCGACAGTTCGCCGTTTAATTACAAAATTTCAGACAAAATTCACGTTGCTGAATGTGAAGACCACTGTTCGTCGCCGTCTTGGTCGGTCCCTCGAAACTATAGCCGCAGTGCGGGAAAGTGTGGCCGAGAATCCAGGCACTTCCATTCGGCATCGTGGCCAAGAACTGAACCTTACCAGACCCACTCTGCAACGAATTTTAACAAAAGATCTGTGCTTGCATGAGTACAAGGTTCAAGTAACGCAAGAACTCAGGCCAACGGAGAAAATCATTTTCTCTGATGAGGCACATGTTCAACTGAACGGGTACGTCAATAAGCAGAACTGCCGAATTTGGGGTTCTGAAAACCCTCGTGTAATAATCGAACAACCAATGCATCCACCGCGAGTTACCGTTTGGTGCGAATTCTGTGGCGGAGTGATTGGACCGTATTTCTTCGAAAATGTAGCTGGAACTGCGGTAACTGTTAATGGTGTGCAGTGTCGCAAAATGTTAACCGAGTTTTTGTGGCCCTAGTTGGATCGAATTGATATGGAGGATATGTTCTTCCAACAAGACGGTGCGACCTGCCACACAGCTCGCGAAACAGTGGGGTTACTGCGGTACAAGTTTCCAGACCGTGTCATCTCTCGGTTTGACGCTCAAAATTGGCCACCAAGATCGTGCGATCTAACGCCTATGAACTTCTTCCTCTGTGGCTATGTGAAGGAAAAGGTATATGCGAACAAACCACAAACAGTTGAACGCCATAAAGAAGAGATACGGCGCGTTTATTGACGAAATAGAGCCATAGTTGTACGCAAAACGATATCCAGAATTTTAAGAAAAGACTGACTCTGTGTCAGAGGTTTGGTGGTGGCCATTTACCGGATGTTCTATTTCATGTTTAATCACAACTATTCCTCTTCATGTTGAAATACTCGCTTAATTCGAAAAACAATTGCCTTTTTCTTAAAAATCACATCCGGCGCTCTTATTGAGGCACCCTTTGTAACTAGCAAATCAATATTTCAGAAGGGATTACTTGAATTTAATAAACTAAATTGATTAACTTGTAATTTAAATATGTTGAAAAGAAAGCTAAAGGAGCGTTTAATGGACAGTGAAAATTATTAGATATGCAAGTTTTGTTTTTCTCAATATTTGTAGGTAATTGTTTTTTAAAAGAATGTAATTGTAGCAATCATGCTGGATAAATTTTGAACAAACAAAATTTTAGTCTCCCCACCTAAATAATTTGAAAACTGCTCATTTTAGAAAAATGTTTCAAACAAAATTTGTATGGTTTTGAGGCGCCAAAATCGTCGTGACGTACGCGTTCAAGGTCATTTCGACGTCAAGCAAGTATTTTCAAATGGAAGTCCCTCTTTTTGCCATCGGAATTGAAAGAGGAGCAGAAAATCACTATGGCCGTGACCTTAACAAATGTCTCGGTGATTTCAAGGTCGTGTTAAGCTTATATATTATGAGGTCACGGTCACATTCACGGTCACATTCAAGGTGATGTCCGGACTTAAAATTTGCTTCTCTGTTCAATTCCAATTTGAAAGTATTCACTTGACCTTGAAATAACCTTGAAGGTCGTAGTCAGGATGATTGTCATGGTTACCATCATTATGCCCCATCGAAACCCTACACCTTTTACCTGTTACCTTTCTGGAGGGCCGGGAAGAGGTCGCTGATGAAGACTGTGCTGGAAGACCTTCGACTTCGACAAACACCGATAATGTGACTCGTGTGCGCAAAGTTTTGAACTCAGACCGTCGACTAAGTATTCGTTTAATTGCCCAGATGTTAAATTTACCAAAATCTGTGGTTCATGACATTGTGACACAGCATTTAAACATGCGCAAGGTGTGTGCGAAGATGGTCCCAAAAGTGCTCACTGACGACCAGAAATTGCGGCGAGTGGAAGTGTGGCAAGAAAATTTGAAGATGTGTAAAAGTAACCCCCAATTTCTAAATAACGTAATCACAGGTGACGAGTCGTGGATCTTTGAGTATGATCCCGAGACAAAGGGGCAATCTTTCGAGTGGCACACGACGGCGTCTCCTCGGCCAAAAAATGGAAGAATGAGCAAATCCAAAGTGGAAACGATGCTCACTGTCTTTTTTGACATCAAAGGCTTCGTCCACCATGAATTTGTTCCTCCTGGACAAACCGTCAACGCCAAGTTTTACGTGGAACTGCTCAGGATACTCAAACGAAGGGTCAGTCAAGACATCGCAGCCGACTGGAAGTTGCACCACGACAACGCCCCGGCTCACATAGCCTTTCTTGTGAACAGCTACCTGACCAAGGCCGGCATCCCAACGCTTCCACAGCCGCCCTACAGCCCAGATGTGCCCCCCCCCCCCGGACTTTTTTTGTTTCCTCGCCTGAAAAGGCCGATGAAAGGCAAGCATTTTGAGACGACAGAGGGGATCCAAGCAGCATGCACCGCGGCTCTCAAGGCTATTCCGGAGAATGCCTTCCGTGACGCCTTCAATGCTTGGAAATCGCGCCGGCAGCGCTGCATCGACGCTGAAGGAGCCTATTTTGAAAGTTTTTAAAGAATTGGCTCAATAAATTTTTTTAAATCGACTCAGTCCTATTACTTTCCGGACAAACCCTGTACGTCCCTCCCAATGACCTTGACTATGGGTATTTGAGGGTGTCCAGAAAGTAGGGAAAGGACAGATATCTCAAAAAATACGTTTTTAAAGAAAAATGTGAAATGAAGTTGTTACAAGAGGTTCATCTAACGGTGACCTTGTGATCTTAACGATGACCTTCAAGTACCTTTGTATGATTATCAAAGTCATTTGAAGATCAAATATGATTTTCGGGGTCATTTAAAGACCAGAGACATTTTCAAGTAAATTCCTTACTTTTTGTCGAGGATGTAAAATTAAATTAATTTATTGTTGCGTTAAAATGAGGGATGTTTATTGCCAAAAGTGAAAATGCATTACTCTGGATATTGCATTTCTTTCTCTAAAAACCATGTCATTGACACTAAGGACCTACACCTTACACTACATCCATGCGGGAGGAGCCTGCGGGTTTAGTCTAGTTTGAGAAAAAAAACTTACCTGATTCCTGTGGCTGTTCCGGTTCGTGGTGTCCATTGTCCTGCGGCTGTTGGTGCTGTTGTTGTTGTGACTGCTGTTGTGGCTGGACCAAAGTATCCCAATCGTCAATCTGTTTCTCTTCTGCAGCCTCCTCAGTTGGTTGCTGCAACTGCTGGTGGTCGTTGATGGGGGCGGCAACAGCCTGCTGTTGCAACATCGCGTTGGCAGGCTGTTGCTGTTGGGGCGGCTGTTGCATGGCCGACGGCACTGCGCCGCCCATGGTCTGGGATTGGGCGGTCGGGGGCACGTGATTCGGCACTTGACCTGAACAAATAAATGATTTTTATTTCTCTCGGGGGCGGTTCAATGAGTACCCGTGTTTGACGACAGAGGGCGTTCCTGAGGGAAGTTATACCCGTGTTTGACGACAGAGGGCGTTCCTGAGGGAAGTTAATGTTATCATCGTGTGCTGCCATCTATCAGACGACGACACAACGAATTTTAGACTGATTGATAGGTTCGTTTGGATTTGGCAGCCATTCGAGTAACACGTGTTTCGTGATTTTCGCTAAGATGGAAAAAGCGCAGTATCGTTCGGTAATTCGCTTTTTGTTTTTGGATGGGAAAAATGCGAGAAGATAAAAGCAAAGTTGCATGTTGTTTATGGGGGCACTTCGCCATCTTAGACCACAGTTAGATATTGGTTCAACGAATTTACACGTGAGCGAACATCCGTTTTTGATGAGGATCGACGAGGACGCCCGGCAGACGTGGTTACCGAGGAAATCATTCAAAAAGTCCTAAACGGCATGAACTGCGTTATGAAGTGCTGCCGTATTCACCCGATCTGGCCCCCTGCGACTTTTTCTTGTTCTCGGAGATGAAGAAATGGCTCGCGGGGAAAAAAATTAGCTCAAACGAGGATGTCATCGCCGAGACAGAAGCGTATTTTGGAGAGTTCGACAAATCCTATTTTTTGGGGGGGTTAAAAAATGGCAGGGACTTTGGGAAAAGTGTATCTTTCTAAAAGGGGATTATGTTGAAAACTAAAATGATTTTTTTTTTTTGGAAAAAATGGTGTCTTCATTTGTAACATGGGTACTTATTGAACCGCCCTCGTATACACAGTATATGCATACGCATCGTCATATATGCAATTCTGACATTGAGTTTCTCTTTGATTAAATTTTTTTGGGCTATTTTGTCGTTTTATGTCTTAGTATAATTTACTGAACTCCAATAGGCAGCGGATGTATGAAGGTGATGCCGGTAGTTCAACTGTGACCCGCGAAAAACCGTAAGAAGACCTACAAATTTGTTAAGAACTGTATATTTGACACTTACCTGGAATGACGTTAATATCATCCGGATGTATAGCTCCGTTGACAGTAGCCACCTGCTGGGGTGGGCTGCTGAGCACGTGTTGCTGAGCTGCATTCGGCACCGGAGGCTGCTGGTTGTGGTGCATCGGCACTTGGGGCATCGTGGGCGGCATCGGGGCGCCGCCGCCAGCAGCGGGATAGTATGGCGGAATGCCGCCAGCGCCGGCCGCAGCAGTGGGTTGAGTGGACAACGACTGTTGGACGTCGTTGATCACCTGTCTGTAACGTTAACGAAATGACGGTTACAGTTATAATAACGAACCGGGTATCAAAAATAGATGAACTTTTCTTTGGTGAGGCTAATGCCCCCAAAAGAGAATTTGGCAAACACGTGTTATCTTTGGAAAATATTTTTATTGCAGCATAAGCATTTGAGATCTTAAAATCAGTAGTGCGGTCAGTAGATCCTCTGTTTCACTATTTTCGGCTCTTGCAAGTTTGTTTCAAACTGCTTGGGGTTTCCGATCTAAAAATGGGCAAGGACGCGGTTCTGCTTAAAGTACACCAAGAACAGATTGTGTAACCGGAAATTTGGCGGAGAGGTAGCTTTCACAACGGAAAATTTAGTTTAATATGAAATGCTAATTTCAAAAAAAAAATATATTATTAATTTGTTAGCTTCCCGGCCCGCCGTTTTAACCCCGCAGCATTAATAAAATAACCAAATTTCCTAAGCGTACAAGTAGACTGTCGATTAACAAATGCTACGCAATTATAGCAATGTTATATGTTAGTCACAAAAGTCTCGGGTAACAAGTTGGCTATAAAATTCGCTCTTACCTATCCTGGCCAATATCCTCGTCTACGTCAGAACGTTGATCAGCGTCGCACTCCTCGTCGGAGATGATCTCGTCCTGGTAACGGAAGATATCGTTGTGAACGTAATATTTCTTCGGCGATTGTGCTGCCAAAACGAACGTTTGAGTGAAGCGACGCATCGGCTGGCCAGCATTGGATAGTTCGCCGGTCACTTGGACAACCACTCCGTTGCCCAGGGTGGCCTGAGGAAGAAGAATCAATCATGACCACACAATCATTTTCATATACTGTGAGGTTCAAAGTTGGCTAACGTGGTAATGAGTACGAGAGAAGCGCGAGAATATGAATATTACAAGTGCGCCTATGGCATCCGTGACCTCATACTCGGGTTGCTATACTACAACTATTTAAAACTGTAATGACTCATACCCGTGATCAACACGTGATCAGATCTTGATCCCGGCTTCCTTCCAGTACAGCCGTATAGCGTACGACATATGTCGTTTCTGTGGCTTTGCGGTGGTCAACAGCACAGACAGAGATGGAAATAATGGCTGATTGTTCTCCGCCGGTAGAACCAATGAAATCAAAGACGCGCCTCGACCGGCAGACTCATAGACGTCGGCAACGCATTGGAACGTGTTTCGTTGAGCGATCGCATATTGTGTGCTTTTATAAGAATTGTTGTGTGATTGTTATTGTTGTGGTTTCTGTGGTTACTGTTTTGGTTATACTTAACCATGGAGAGTACAAATGGCACGAGTGGAAGTACTGAAAGCCAGGGAACAAGTCGACGGCTTCGTAAAGCACTGAAGAGGGACGCGAAAGAAACCGTGCTAACGTGTTCAATTATCTGAACAGAACTATGTCGCAGGGAGATGCACTCGCGCGTTGTGAAAGTATGACAGGCGTTCCAGAGTGGACCATTCGCAGGAATGAGATACCAACCCTCAAGGCTGTACATGCAGCGATCAAGGAAAATGAAATTATACCCCAAATGAGCGTCGAGGTAATGAGGAAATCCCTGCACGAAATTAATTTTCGTTACGAAACGCGTAATCGGAAGTCAGTATTGATAGAGAGACCTGAAATAGTCGCCTGACGTCGAAAATACCTACGCGAAATGATTGAATATAGGCGACAAAGCAGAAAAATCTATTATTTGGACGAGACATGGTTAAATGCAGGTCACACAGTTAAAAAAACCTGGATAGACAAAAACGTAGTGAGTAACCGACAAGCAAGCATTGCAGGTTTGTCAACAGGTCTTCGTGGACCGTCAGGGAAAGGTCAAAGATTGATCGTAACTCATATTGGTAGCGATAGTGGCTTTTTAGAAGAGTGTGACTTGATTTTCGTCTCTAAGAAAGGAGGTGATTACCATGACGAAATGTATGCCAGCTGCTTCGAAGGCTGGTTTCAAGGGGTGCTTCAGCGAGTTGAGCCCAACTCTGTGATCGTCATGGATAATGCTTCCTACCATAGTCGTCGAGCCGAACGTGTACCGACTATGGGATCTCGAAAAAGTGACATGCAGCAACGGTTGCGCGAAAAAGGAATCCCGTTTGACGATTCATGTGTGAAAGCGGAATTGTATGAAAAAATTAAACAGCACAAACCTGCGAACATTAGTTACGTGACTGATGAGATGGCCCGTCAATGTGGTGTCACTGTGCTGCGGTTACCGCCCTACCACTGTGAACTGAACCCAATAGAGCTCATCTGGGATCAAGTGAAGGGTTATATTGCGCGCCATAACACAACCTTCAAATTACCAGACGTTAAGGTTTTACTTGAGACTTCCATACAGCTAGTAACGCCCGAAGCTTGGCAGAATGCTATCCGTCATGTTGTGAAGGAAGAAACAAAAATGTGGCAGCTTGACCACCACATCGAAACCATCATAGAGCCAGTTATAGTCAATTTCAACCAGGAAAGCGATAGCGACAGTTTATTACTGTCAGATATAAGTGGAAGCGACGATGAATAAAGGTAATTCCCAAATTTTTGACTTACAATATGTTTCAAACCACTCTTTATTAAGCATGTGACAAATCTAGTTCACCCATGTTAAACATTCATACCCCGCCTATGAACAGCCGACTACTGGTAGTTAAGTGATGTTCACGTGAACATCGATGAGTCATTACAGTTTTAGATAGTTATAGTATAGGCAACGAAACGCTCTCTTTCTAACACACGTAATGCATGCTTCTCGCGCTTCTCTCTCGTACACATTACGACGTCAGTGGTTTTCCGTGTAGACTCAAAGGGTAAAGAGTGTTGGCCCTCTTTGAAGCCGCATGACAGCATATGAAAGTTGACATGCAAAAATTGTGCGGCAACTGGCAACCTGACAAAAGTGAAGTTATGTGAAATGACAATGGAGATTGGTAGGTATATCCTATTTGACGAGTATCCGTTACGTTTTGACGTTCTACTGATGTGTAAACAGCTGATCAGCAAGTGACATATTTGTATTAGTCTGTAACATTGACAAGAACGAATCGGGTGTGAATCTAGTAAAACTTGGGACCGTATTCAGAGCTGTTGTTCAAATCCAGATACTTCTGGTGACTGGGAATTTTGACGATAAAATATACGAAGTACACATAGAAAAACGTTATCTAAAAATTCTAGTTCATCTGGGATATATTGATAACAAGATAAGTCAATAGAACGGACTGTGTTGTCCTTTCCAGTGGCTGTGATATTACATCTAAAACTAATATAGACTCGTGTTTCTGGTTAATTATCCGTTATCAGTGTAACATAATTCAAATATGCCTGTTCCAGTGCCCTTTAAAATCATATGGTGTTTCAAGTCGTATAAAGTAGAGATGATTCGGTAAATACGAGGGATGTCTTTTAAGTTTTGCATATGGAAATAAAACAATACGGTAGGTAGTTTTAAATGACTTTATTGTTTTTCGTATTCTCCACGAAGATTAATACACATCTGCATGTGCTCGAACCAATTTTCGAAGCACTTATTCCACTCGCTTGCTTGCAGATCCAAAACGGCAAGTGCGTCAACTTGAAATAGTTCCCGAGCTAGCTCTCTCAGGTAAATGGGACGAAGACGGTGTTACGACCATATCACTTTATTTATTAAAATAGAGGCCCATTTATAACTCACACTATACAATTCGAAATAAAAAATAGAATAGCAATAACAATGTTCGAATGTCCGTCGGGTGGAGCAACGATATACGTCCTCTTTCTGCCGATGCTCATGCCCGTCTCCCCTCGCAACCCGTCCTCAGGGTCTTACTACCTGCCTTCCGTCGCATTTTGCACTCGACACGCACTCGCACACGGTCGCGCTGTTGCCGAACCTCTTCAAACTGCTTCTTCTGGTGACTGGAACCTTTGACCATGCAGTCTGTTTTCAATTTTCGGGAAAGTAAAGAAATCGTTAGACTTAGATCGGGACTATATGGAGGATGGTCCAATAATTACACGTTTTCTTCCGTTAAATACCACCTTGTTTTTTGGGCTGTGTGCGAGCTTGCATTGTCTTGGTGGAGGATGATTCTTCTTTAAGGGTTGATTTTTCGACGCTCGGTGATGACTTTTGGGAAACAAATGGTGGTATACCAATCCGCAGTAACAGTTCTTTGCTCATTAAGAGGAATAGTTGCAATAAGACCAGCTTTTGACACAAATGTCGCGACCATCTTTTTCGAAACACTTCGAGAACGGATGACTTTTGTTGGCTTTTCTTCACCTTGGAACACCCAAACAGCCGACTGTCGTTTATATTCTGGTTCATAACAGTAAATCCACGATTCATCACCACTAACAATGCTGTACACATTTTTTGAGTTTCCGGAATTAAAACGGTCAAGCGTTTTTTGACACCAATTAACCCTGGCTTCTTTCTGCTCTTCAGTCAACAGGTGGGGTATCCAATGAGAAACTAATTTTCTTACTCCTAATTCTTCATGTAAAATTTTTTGAATTGAGGTCTTTGAGATCTTCAAGGGCGCCTCAATCTCGCGATATGTCACATGTCTATCTTCAATGATGAGTTTGCGCACAGCATCGACGTTTTCCTGGGTGACTGCCATCCCTCATATATATCAAAAGTCTTTGCTCGAATTGAAAAGATGTTGAACATAATGGAAAGGAGAACAAGGTTGGCAGCACCATGGAATTTGATGTTCAAAAATTAGGACAGGTCCTAATGTGTCAAGAAACCCACTCAGAAGTCCATGGATTTATTTGTCGTCAAATTCATGTTTATACAAACGAAATTTGGCGATGAGCTCAATTCATTTTCAATGTAAAGGTGTTTTTCGGCAACCCATCACACTGACACTTGGCAATTATAAACATTTTGCTATGTAGTATAAAAAACTTTCGAATATAAAGGTATATATGTGGCGAATAAGGGTAAATGGTAGCTCCTAAGATGATTAAAAAAGAGGAATTATAATAGTGTACCTGCAAATATTTTTTTCGAAACTATTCATGATTGCCGAAACAAAATCGGGACATTTTGGAATTTCATATAGTACGCAAGACATTCAATAATCAATAGAAATACAATTCATAACTTAAGAAAGTTGTTTTGAAACATTTTAAGATGTTTGCCTCTGGATCTCAACCCCAAAAGGATTATTTGGTAATGACTATGCTGATAATATAGTTAAGATATAGTAGATACAAATATATTTATTTCAAAATAAATAGCCATTTAATTATATATCAGCTAGATATTATTTGCTTTTGCTATGATACTGGAAGAAATAAATGTATTTTATCTGATACAAAGATAACATTAAGAGACAATATGAGCAATCTATTTAGTATGAGATAAAAACCTCTCACACCAGTGATTATTTGTATCTATGTCATAATTTCAATCACAAAGTCATGCTTATTTTAAAAACACATTCTGCAATCTCTATCAAATGCATGTACTACAAATATGTATAGCATGGATTCTAGACTTTACCTTTTAAATAGACATACAAAAAAAATTACCTGCGAGTCCACCTGGGTGATCTTAGCATGACAATCCCGGAAGTTCAGTTGCTGGATTTTTTGATGGATCTGTTTCTGGCCGATAACGGGGCTTGTTTCACGGTTATGAAGGTCCAAACCACCATGGATGAAGGATGACTGGTGGTTGTAGAATCTGCATCAAAATATAATAACAGTATTTTTCGGAATATCAGTTAATCAAATGTGAATATTCAACCGAATTATTCATCATGAATAGGAATCAAACCAGATCTTCTACCTTGCTACCCACCTAAGATAAGTTTTCTCAAATCAACTTACAATTTGTGTTCAAAACCAAAAAATGAAAAATAAAACAACACAGCACACCTTTAGAGAAACACTAATAATTCATATCGTGAATGTCGCACAATCAGTATTTATGGTGATCATATGGGACAGTAGTTACTGATGAATCCATGTCACAGTAGACTTCTATGAAACCTTGTTCCATGGACAGATGTTTCGTGCTATTTGGCAACTCATCCATATGGTTTAGGCTTGGTGTCAGGTAAAACAATGAACAAAAACTGAGAAACATTGAAGATCAATTCCTGATCATCAATAATTAAAACATCCAGGGTACATGGTCAATAAATATCAGGGGATATCAATAATAATAAATATCATTGATTAATTCTGATATATCAAAGTAAATATTGTTCATGTGACATTCGCCTAACACTGAAATTCGGGGTAATCTGGAAAGGTAGAAGCAAATGGGGCTAGTTAAGTCTACAATTATGAATTGCTTAAGGCAATGTAGTATTTGAGAAGAACAAAAGAGAATTATCATTTTGAAATTCAGATCAGACATCACTGGCTTGCTCAGATCTGAATGAAAATATTTGGTTTAAAAACAATTAAATGCTTAATTACATACAAATTATTGTGGTGCTGTAATAAAACATACCTGTGCAGATGGGTAGGGGCTTTGTTCAACAGCGTGTAGTACTGTCTAACAAATTCCCTGCCTACACTCTGAGGAGATGGGGGAGCCTCCATTACCATTCCTGTAGTTTTCCTTTAATGGATATATGTCCAGACAAACAATGACCTGCAATCTGAAAGAAGTATGAATATTGTAGGTATGTTTTAAGAATTACTTTCAAAACCATTAAATTAGTGACATAATGATTTCTCAAAGTCTACAACAGTTTTGGAAGAAAGTCTGATTCTGTATCAGTACACAAAATGAAATGAAATCTTATAGTGTACAATCTTGGAGGTCATGATTCTATGTCACATTTGACACAAACGAATATAGTTTCCATAACTTCCACGGTCCAGAATAATTGTTTCGAAATGTTAACTTGCAAATTCAACTTCTGAAACATATTCTCTAGAAATGTATGATCCAACAGTCATATTTCAGAGGATAATAAAAATGCTCATTTGTTGCAAGATGAAGAGCACACCTACCTCAGAAGTTATTGCAAATAACAAAGAGAATAAATAATAAAGTCAATTAAAATTAACCAGATAGTTTATTCATTCAATGGCTTCCCACTGTTTACAAAAATATAATACATCTACGAATGTTAGTACACAATATACATTTATACAAGTTAATAAAACTATAGTAAGTACAACTGAATGCCCTCAAATATACATTATACAAATTAATGTCATCCCCCAAAACATAAAATGTCTAAACTGACATTATGCTCATTATAGCATTCCTATTTCTGCAGTTGTTTGACACTAATATCTGGTGACAAAGTGTTTGCCAGTGATCAGTTTCAAAAGATCACAAACAAGTGAGTATTTATACTACATCAACATTATTTGAAATTGTAGTAGTCATTCACCACATTTTGTGATTTGGGGCCTGTATGAACCTATGTATGTTCAGATTAAATAAGTAACTAAATGAAGTTTGAATGCAGAGTATGAACAATGATATTTAGTTTACAAAAATTATTGAAAGAAACAAGATCTGAAACTGTAGAATTACCCATGTGCATGATCTGTGATCAACTATTCATTCATACATAAAAGTTAAAATAAATAATCAAGTAAATGAGACAGAATAAAGGGATCCTGACACATTTTTAAAAATACCAGGTATTCATATCATGATCTCTAATAGTTATTTGTCCCTTATCTTTATTTCAGTGTTTCTACTTAACCATCATGAATTTTATTATTAAGTATGATTCATATTCACCAGTAAATATGGTTCATTTGGTTACAATGTAAAGTTTTGCTGTTTATACATTATTCTGAATATGATTATAATATACACAAGTTAGAACAATCAAGTAAATAAGCCAAAATAAAGGGATCATTGCACATCTTTAAAAATACCATAAATTCATATCATTATCTCTAATAGTTCCTTGTCCCCTTATCTTTATTCAAGAGGTGTTTCTTAACAGTCTTATGAATTTTGTTATATTAAGTATGATACATGCTCACCTATATATGCTTCATTTAGTTAAAGCTTAACAATATAAAGTTTTGCTGTTTATACATTATTCCAAATATGATTATCATGTATCATCTCCAAGATTATTTGCAATTGTTCCTTACAAATTTCAGAATTATTCATATCTCGTTCAAGCCAGAGTCACAAGAATCAAGAATACTGAATCTGGACCAGTACAACATACTATTCAGCTTATTTGTTACCTACTTACTCATTAAAACCTATATAAGCAATGTTTACAACAACATAATTCAAAGTTTTTGCACACAAAAGGGTGAAAAAAGTGGAAAAGTTCTTTTTTTAAGGTGAATGTCACACATCCATTATTTACTGTCTGTGCCATCAGTATTTACTGATCATTCCATAAGTGTCAGGGCATTCCTAGATAACCATATACAGCAATGATTACTGACATCTTGGCTACATGGTCAATAAACAGCACATTCCATTCTAAATATTACTAGATCAAAGTAAATACTGATTGTGTGACGTTTATGCAGACTGCTTTTTAATGAGTGTCTCAATACTTCACAGAACAAATCCTTAGATAAAGAAGCAAGAAGTTCATATAAACATGTTTCCACAAATCTCTTGTTCCTTTAAGATACAGAGAGATACAAGTTATAATTTCAAAACTGAAAAAAAAATCAGAATGTAATGAGGTATTAACTTAAAATGTTATAAATGGAATACTAGCTGCATAGCCAATATATAATAAAATTTTGTACCTAAGACAAGTAATATAATAAATGAGAAATTCTGTCCTTGACAAAGGTGATTTTCTATACCATTGACTTTTCTGAAACTACTCATTATGGAGAAAAATTAGTTTGAATATTTAAGGTTAAATTTATATAAAAACACAACCCATTCTACATTGAAAATATAGAGAAGTGTAAGTGAAGTTAGACAATGGAAATGTACATAGTCTATTCCACCATAGTATTATTTGAACAAAATTTATGGTTTGCTCTTATCCAGCCTCATAAGTAATGTAGAAATTTACAACACCTCATATTGTGAGCCTTAAGGACTGAATGAACTTTTCCCTTTAAAAAACCTAAGGAACCATTGAAATATTGAGCATTTATTAAGAAATGCTATATACGATTATGGATTACATAAGCTCTTATAAATTTGAAACAAAAAGAAAGCTATTGAAATATGTATCTAGTTCTATTCTAATTGTAGCTGTTATGTGACACCTAAAAAGTTAAACATTCATATTCATATTCAATATGAAACCATCCATTACGAATGACCAGATATCTTTTTTGAGTCTGCTCAAACCAGGTATTTTGCAAAATAGTATAATAATGCATTTCTTGATATAATATTTTTGTGAAGAATGATTCTTTGAATCCAGGTAACTCCAATACAAAGAAGCTTATGCCATCTTGCATGCTGTTTTTAACAAATTGCATTCCTTTTTTTCTTCATGTTTTTGGGCAATATAAAGAAAAGTGTTTCAACTAGGAATATTGTAGCAGTTGTTCAATTTCACACAAAAAATTTGCTAATCCAAAGCGCAAGCATAAAACTACCTATGATAATTCTTTGAATTATTTCATTTTGTAATAATTTGCGAACATAGAGATATGATTATTGGTACACAAAACTTTCAGGAACTATGTTTAGCCCTATCCATAATTTATTAACCTAAAATAACAAATACAATTAACCAAGTAATGTAACCAAGATTTTGCATGCATTACGCCCAAAAATATAGGTTCCGTTAATATTTTCTCGAACAGACTACCTTCTACGGAGTTTGAACAAAGAAATTTGCCAGAACTCGTCAATGCGGAATAAGTTTAGTATGACGAAATAATGTATCTCAAGCAGGTATTTAAAAAAACGTGTGGTTCACCACATTTCGTGAACCCCTGCCGTTTAGCATGTAACTATTTATGGAATCGTAAGAGAATGAAGACTTGATATCAAAAATAAATCCCCAAGATTTTGGAGGCCACGATTTTGTAACTGCATCACTGATGAACCGGCGTTGTATAAACCCTGGCTTTATTGTTATTAAAAATAATTTTTACTCACCTATGCTTATTGCTCCCGATGGTGGAATGAATGTGTTGCAAAAGTAATGTGTGGAAAGTAAACGGGGTGTCGTTTTTGTTAAAAAAATGAAAATGTTTTGAGATTATTCCGTGAAGCAAAGCACACGGGGTGTAAACTTCATAAAATTGGCAAGTTGAGTTGGTTGTTGATTTCTATTTTATCCGCAAGAATCCAGCGCCCTCCAAGGTCACGTTGTAATCTCGAACCCAAAATGCACGATGCTAGTTCTCATGCGCAAACGGATATGACGTCATAGCGGGAGCTAGGCAAAATTCAAATTCAGGGTAGGCCTCCAAGCCTAAAACGATTTTAATACGGATAAAATAATCTTGAATAGCTTGTGAATATCATAGAAATGTATATTTCTCTCGTTGATAATTTTTGAGACCAGCCGAACAGGGTTTTTCCGTGATGTCCTTCCTCAGTTTTCTTCATATGTAGCACAGACATGCATGGAATGTAGTCGTGCGGAGCAATTTCCTAAATGTCATTGAGGATTGGATGTCTATTCCAGAGTAGGACGACTTCTCAAAAGTCATTAAGCTATGCAACTGTAAGTACACTTCGAGGAATTTCTTTGAATTGTAGGTTGCATATGATAGATAACCTTCCCATCTTCCCAAGCCCCAAGCTTTAGTCGAAATTAAAAATTTGTGAGGAATACTGGTCCTATCAATGTATTGGTTTATCTATATCTATTTTATGTTTATAATTGTTTGTTGGACGATCCTACAGCAGAGACGAGTAATATTTTACAACTTATCCTCATTTGCACTCATTTTTGTTAACTGGAAATCATCGTAGTTAATATAGTACCACAGATATCAAGATTTCATAATTTCGTTCTACCTATGCTAACGAGTTTTTGATTTGGATTTCCAATTATTTCCATATGTGTTTATTGTCAAAAATGCTATTTTACTGTAGAATTTTTCATTTACATGCTTTAAAATAAACGTAGGTATTTCAATCATAAACATCCAAACAACTTCAAAAACATGATATTTCATTTTCAAACATTTAAACAATTTGGTTACACCTCATGTTGACAAAAATCTTGGACATCTATTCTGTCTTTAGCTTTACGTTGTCAAAAATATCAAAAAATCAAACAGCATTTCTAAATGTGTGAGTATCTATAGCCAGAAGTGGTGCCACAATCTAACGTTTGCTGTAGAAACCATAAATCGTCAAAAATGTTATTTCTTTTTTTAAATTCGTTTTTTGATGTATAGGATTTTTCAGGTTTATCATATACCATCTATAATAGACCTCATCTCATCATACTAAAGAAAAAGTTCCAATGGACTTATGTATTTTGTGGCTTTGATAATATGATGCGTCCTTTTTTTCTAATACCATACATATACTAAGTGACATATAAATCCGAACACCCAGTTTAAATGGTTTTATTTTAAGAAAAGTTGGTGAATGTATTTATCCTACTGTAAATAACAAGTGAAAAAATTATCAGCCTTATCAGTTGGACATTCCGGTTTTTATACTGCTTTTTTTTAATTCACTAACGCTCTAAAAATGAATATTTCAGCCGCAGTAAAGAATCAACGTTGGCGGATTTTAGTTCTTGACATCCTTTACGATCGGTTACGATGCCTAGAGTACGGAGACCTGTACGATTTCGTCAACTTAGTGAGTTTGATAGGGGCCGTATAGTGGGACTTTGGGAAGCTGGACTTTCTTTTCGGGCAATTGCAGTTAGAGTGCAAAGAAGTGTAGACACTGTGGTTAGGTGTTGTCAGGCATGGCTTCGAGAAGGCCGTACGCAAAGAGCAAGGGGCACTGGACGCCGCCGTAGAACAACAGACCGTGAAGATCGCCGCCTAAGATTATTGGCCTTAAGGGACCGTTTCTCCACTACCAGGCCCATTGCAAATGAATGGTTTACAGAACACGGAAGACCTATTGGCATGCGAAGTGTTTACCGACGAATGAGAAGTTTTGGCTTGTTTTCATACCGGCCACACTGGGTCCTCCCTTTAACTCGAGAACACCGACGTAATCGCCTTGAGTGGTGCAGACAACGGTCACTCTGGGATCAGGAATGGAACAGTACTGTCTTTAGTGACGAGTCTCGATTTTGTTTAGGCATGCACGATGGTCGTGCCAGGGTTAGAAGGCGACATGGTGAAAGGAGGAATCCACAGTTTTTTATGAAAGTCATGTTCATCACACTGTTGGAGTTATGGTTTGGGGTGCTATAGCTTATGGTTCCAGGTCACCTTTAATCTCTATCAGAGGTAACATGAACGCGCAGCGTTATATCCACGAAGTTCTAGAACCCCATCTTTTACCCTATCTTGACACCCTGGCAGATCCAACTTTCCAACAAGATAATGCCCGACCACATGTTGCAAAAGTCACAATAGACTTCTTTCAACATAATGATGTCACATTGTTACCATGGCCACCAAGATCTCCCGACTTATCTTCAATTGAGCACGTGTGGGATATGATGGGTAGGAGATTGCTCAATTTGCAACGTCCTCCTCAGACTCTAGAAGCACTTCGAGAGGAGTTGGTGGTTGCCTGGAATGAGATACCACAGGAGGACATTGACCACCTGATCAGAAGCATGCCTAGGCGCGTTGGAGAATGCGTAGCACATCAGGGTGCATCCACACATTATTAAAGGTCAAAGGGCTTTAAAGCCGTGCAATCATTTTGAAATTTTTATCATTTACCTATTATGCTTCATTAAGTACTTATACAAAATTTTATTAAAGTAAAACCATTTAAACTGGGCGTTCGGATTTATATGTCACTTAGTATATTTTTAATTTCTCTTAGATTACCTTGGTTACATGATGGACCTCTATGAATCGACAATAAGCAATAATATAACAAAATGTTTCCTATAAACATAGGTCCTAATAAAATATTTTGTTACCAATATACGGGTAGTTGTATAATTTTACAGCACTGCAATGATGAGACGGAATAAGGACAAAACACGAATATTGCTTAAATAACACTATAGTGAAATAGGATGACTCTCCTAATACTCTACAAGCAGTCAAACAACAATGTATAACTTCTTTAATTTCCGTGTATTTCAGACGTAGATTGGGTTAAATTTTTTTATACCTCAAACATTCAACCCATCAATTTTTCACCAAAAGGAGTAGCCTGATAAAAATTTCTTAAAAGGGGCAACTCATGTAAAATTGAACAACCTACTTAAAAATGGAAAAGATGTTTCAAAAAAGTCCGTGGCTTAGAAATAATTTTCTAATTTCTTCTGTATAATGGTTGTCAAAATTTCCCAATTTATACGCCTCTGAGATGTGCCTGGTCTCCTCTGAACTTGACTGAAAATGTTTGCATGTATTGTTGTGGATACTACTTGTACAAAATTTCATTTCAATACCTCAATATAACTCAAAAATTTAACATCAGCACCGCCTGTATCTTGTTAAGGGTGCATTTCATTGGGGTTTATATGAACCTTTCGTATTATTTTTTGATCTACTTTATGCGCTAGAAATATATTGTCACTGTTTTCGAGATAACCCTGTCTTCCTTCTTGTTTTATTAATTATTATTGAAAATTGTTATAGTAGAAAGCGTCCAATTTTTATGAGCAAACATTCAGTGGAACTGCGTTCCGAGCTTTTGATATTCTTATGTCCTAGGCGCTCCGTTACAGGTTGAATCAACGATAAAAGGATGACATGTAATCTCCGTATACAGGTGGAGCTCTCGCTTTCGTGTCTAGGGTGCGACCAAAGGTAATGTTTTTGGCCATGCGGAAGTCGATATTTTTGTCAGAATTTTCGCCGAAGTCAAATTTTAGTTAATCAAAAATGTGGATTGTGGTCTTAAAATTAAGTGGTTGAATAATGGATGCTTGATGTGTACCCTGGTGCTGCTTTTTTAATTTGTTACCCCGAGCTTAATGCAATATTGAATCGAAATTATACAGAGCGTGAATACCTACCATATTTCGGTCACATATGCCGCATTCAGATTAAAGTAATGTAAACTCTTAATAGCAACAATAATTCATTTTTCTAAAAAATACTCAATGAACATTACCTGAACGCTATCGTTAAACAATTAAGGATGTATTTGTGATAATATTTTCGAACTAATTTTAATGAGTTTCCATCGATATTAGATAAGTTGCTAATTGGCAATTATTGCGACTTTTAATAATTAGCTTTACATGGAGCATGGCCTTCCATGTCCACCCATCTATTATAAATTTCAACTCCTGAAAACTGCGATTAACAACTTTATGAAAACGAATGCCATATGCAGTTATTTTACTTTTAGGCCCTACGCGGAATATTACACGATTTACTTTAGAGCCCTACGCGGAATATTACACGATTTACTTTAGCAACAAATGAGAAATGTATGCTTGCAATTCAAATTTTTCTAACCTCATTTTCTCAGTTTTTTTTCAGAATGATATCAAAAACCTAAAACGGCCCTTTTTGGGGCGAAAAAACATTTGTTTGTGATTTAAATAAAAATAGTTGAAATCTGCCTCATTATTGATATATATATATATAATAT